AACGGCTCAAGGAGAAGTTCCCTACGGCTCCTATCCTTCATCATCCAGATCTTGAGCGTGAGTTCATCGTGGAGTTTATGCTTTGAATTCAGGAATCACTGCCATTCTATCCCAGCGACACGGTAGTCCAGCCAAGGTGTTTCCATGCGTTTTCCACTCTCGTAAGCTCACTCCCGCTGAACGCAACTACGATGTGGGTGACGGAGCTTCTGGCCATGAAGGCTGCCTTCAAGGAGTAGATATATTGGCTGGAGGGTGCTCATCGGCCTTTTACTGTTCTCACCGATCATTGCAACCTCGAGTACATCAGGTCAGCAAACCGTCTGAATACCTGACGGGCCAGGTGGTCTCTCTTCTTCTTGAGGTTAACTTTAAAATCACATATCGCCCAGGATCCAGTAACGTCAACGCTGACGCCATGTCCCGCCAGTTTGATGGTAAAACTGATCATACCAAGCCCGAGTACATTTTGCCATCAACCCTCATGTTAGCCTCTGTTCAGTGGGACATCATGACTGAGATCTCGGCAGCACAAGGGGATCATTCAATTCCCATGAAATGCCCTCCTGACCGAGTCTTCGTAGCACAGGATCTTCGCACTCGAGTTCTTCAGTGGGTACATTGCATTCCCAGCGCTGGTCTCCCCGGGATTGCAGCCACATTACGGCTAGACTAGCCGTAATGTGGCTGCAATCCCGGGGAAACCAGCGCTGGGAGTCTACTGGTGGTCTACTCTTCACGCAGACATAAACAAATTCATTCGTCAGTGTCCTACATGCAACATCACGAAGGCCTCCCACTTAAAGCTGGCTGGACTTCTTCAGGCACTTCCCGTTCCTCAAGAGCTATGGTCCCATATTGCAGTGGATTTTGTCACTGATCTGCCTATCTCTTTTATTACCTTTTTTAGGGTTGTGACGGTGAGGATATTTTCTCACCGGATAATTGACGTGTGACAAAACCCGTAATACCGGTGTCACCGGCGGGGGCTTTTAAATCGCTAATTTAAAGGCAAACGTAAAATGCGCACGTTTTCACGGGCATACATAACGGTGCGGTAGTGCGGGAAAGAACTGTTTTGTTATTGTGCCCTGAATATGCGCTAGTTTGAAAACAAAACTAACTTTTGATTGACAGACATGTGATCTGAACAATCAAAATCCACCATTTTTGTCCGACAAAGCAGTCAGGAGAGTTAGAAGATTAACGTCGGTGGAACTTGGCTTTATCAGGCAATCTGTCACGACACATCAAAGAGCCACAAAACGGTAGGCCTATTTGTTGTTTGATTTTCTTTATCTGACCAAATTTGAAAGTTGAGACTGTTTCATATTAAATATTACCTGCTCGATCCTGTCTGTCAACGCGTTGTCAGTGTCCTCTATTTTTCACTGCTTGAGAACATGGGTTGAATCCGAAATCGCCCCCTAAACCCTCATTTACTAGGCATATTCCTTACATTAGTCCACTAATACTGTTCACTTGAAGGAGTGAATGAGAAGTGGTAAGTAAGAACGAATGAGCGAATTCGGACAGCCGTTGCTGACAGAGACGCGATCTGACACGCGTCCCATTTTCTCACAAATCTCTACGTTCGTTTAAGACTGCTCTTATGGACATTTTGTCATAATTTGTGTTATGGTTTGTTCAAGCCCGAAAGAGAACTCGATACCGACGCACGTCTTTTCTGTGTGTTGTGTGTGTGTGTTAATAGGCAGTGGTCATGTCATAAAACCGGTGTTGCGACTGAACACCGGTAACACCGGTAACACCGACTACCGAAGCAAGCCTACCTTTTTTAATTACCATTTTACCATATTATTACCATTCTCTCAGTGGTTGTCCCTCTGTCACAATGCGCTCTACGACGCCTTCTCCTGGCCTCACCAGATCTCTCTCTCTCCTGAATTCTAGGACTTCACTTCCCATCACTCCCATCATTAATCGCCTCCTTCCATCCCTGTCTCATCTCCATCTTCACCACCACCTGTTCCCATTCACCCTCCTTTATCTGGACCTCACTCCCCTTTGTTCCCTGCGAAGTATGGTTTCTGCCACGGCGTGCAACTCTGAGCATTCTTCCAAATCTCAGTGTATTCCTGGTTCCTCAATCCTAGCCTGTTTCCCAGACTACTATATGAAGGTTTGCTGCCTGCCTACGACACCTTGCCTGGTAACCACTCCGAGTTTGGACTGCCCCTGTATATTTCTCAGCTCTGTGCTTTCTCTGTTCTGTCTGTTTGAGAGTTCATCATTAAAGTAATTGCACATGGATCCGAACGCCTCTGACTCTTCATCACACACATATGATGGATATTTTGGAAATTATAGATTATGTAAATGTTGGGTAATGTAAGTGTATTGCCTAATGTGAAAACTGCAATCTGTCTTTTACAGTACTGTAGCATATTAATTTCAGCATTTCTAAGGCTGATTTGTATCTTGCATTCTTTGCTTTAGGATCCAAAGCAAAGAATGCAAAATACAAATCGGCCTTAGAAGAGCTGAAATTAATATGCTTTCAGCATAAGTTACTAAGTACTAAGTTGAAAGATCATACTGTTTTGTTTCTGTGATTAAACAAAATGTTCTCATTACATATTACAATAATCTTGATAGTTATATCATTGTAAGGAAATGAATAGACACTAATTTGAAATGTAATGTGTGGTTTGCCTTTTGAAATAGTAGTACTTTTATGTTAAGTTGTGTCATATTGAACAGGTGATTTTTGTTGAATGAACAAATGATCTAAGTTTTATGTGTTTTATATACAAGCAATTGAGAAAGGGGTTGGAGTTTTGAAAAATGTATATTTTGTTCTTTGGTTGTGAGTTTTGTGTCTAGAGTTGTGAAAAATCGCATCAAGGTTTTGTAAAGTGATTGTAAAAAAACTGTAAAATATGAGTGCTTTAAATAAATAGCCTAAATAAATAAATGCAGCTAAATTATTAAAAATGGAACAATTAGAATTAATAAGTGTGCCATGCAAAATAAATTCAGTGCTTTTTTCTTCTGGATATCACATTTTGCATTTGTTTCTCTTCTCTGAGATCTGGATGTCTGTTCACATTAAAATATTTGGTGAGTAAGGTTATTTGGTTGGTATATAGCAACTAATACTATACTACTAGTATAGTATTACTATATATATTAGTAGCCTATATAATATGGTGTATAGCTACTAAAATCTTCCACAGAATTGGTAGGAATTCGTAAACAACTAGTAGGAACTAGCAAACATAATTATTAAACTAACCTTAGTACTAAAGGTAAATATACTGTATATTTAAGCCCTAAATTCAAAGTGAGGTAAAATGTTAGGCATAGGATCGTAGTTGCAGTGTCCTCTTCAGTGCTGAACCAAGTCAAAATGTAAAAAAAGTGATTAAGGCTGATATCAAAATAGTCTTTTTTTAACACCCACACAGGGCCCTTGAAAACCAGCGTTGTCAGTCATCATTTATGTTCCTGTCTAAAATGTGTGCAAGAGCTTGCTGTGAAGGGTCCTTCCCTATGACCTTTACATGAGTGCAGCCATGCTGGACACTTTCCACTAGACCTTGAAACACTTCCATAATTCATCTCACAGGCTAAGCACTTGAAATAAAATATGCTTGCACATTATAATGAAGCAATAAAATATGTTTACATAATAAACACATTGTAAACTCTAATGTCTGTATCTTGGTTGTAACAAAATTTCATGGACCTCTTCAGAGAAATCCTTTAAAGGGATAGATCACTTTGAAATTAATTTTTGATATGTTTTAGCTTACCTCAAGGGCATCCAAGATGTAGGTGTCTTTGTTTCCACCGCATTTTCAATTTTGACATTTTTTGGTCAAACTGTTGTTGACTGTCAGTCATAATAGAGATCTCCTAAAAGAGCATGCACAGAGAAGTCAAAATTAAACATGACTTAATTATGTAAATGTAAGTACACAATGATGGCCTAAGACACAGAACGAGCGGTTTGTGTGAGAAAACGAACAGTATTTATATAGTTTTTTTTACCTCTTGTTAACAGCCGTCGAACGGATCTGAATCAGATGTTCAACTGAACCGTCTCCAACTTTACGCCGGAAGTGATCTCTCTCGCGTCTACGGAGATTTCGGAAGTTTTACCTTTCACTAAACATATTATATACGGGAAATCGCAACGGAAGACGATTTCGATATATCTAAATATGTTTAAAACATATCAAAAATTAATTTCAAGTTTATCCATTTAAAGGGGGGTTTCCCCAAATAGGGGATGACTATGAAATCATTGTGCCTTTCAATAAACAATATTTTACAGCACCCATTTCACATCCATCAAAAACCCTCTCTCACTCTCTCCCTAATCCATATATTTGCATATCCTGTTGTTGTAAAACCAGAAACTCACTCGATGTTTAACGAAGACTAAGGCGGTTCCACAAGTATTCCAGTAACAATATAGAAAAAAAAAACAGGCAAAGGACAGACAAACACTACGTTCTCACAACCACACACATACTCACCGATAATGTCATTGCGCACTCTAATGGCCATATGGCATCACTACAATATCATTCTTTAATACAAAATCTACATAGTATTAGCATAATTTGTAGGGGAGACTGTCACGCACAAGCAGACTTTTTACTCCAGTAAATATTAGATTAATTTTATTGATTAATAAGATTTAATATATATATATAAATGTCTATTGCTTGGTAAAAAATAAAACAATAACTAACATGCAACCCAAAACTAGTCAGTATTTAACAAATTTAACAAAAATTTAAATTACATATAGTAACTGCATTCTTTAAACAGGTGAGTCTTGTCTGAATGTATGCCAGGCTTTATTGTGCTATAGCAATATTCCAGATATTCGATTTTTTATTTATGTGAGATAATCAAATAATCTAGTTGCGGACATCTATCTGGTTGGAAACTTGCATCAGTTATTTATAATCAGAGCAAAATCTCAAAAATACAATGCATTTTAAAGCTAGAAATGCTCAAGAGTCAATTAAATCTCATTTATTGAAATATAAATCTTTGGAATGTACATGGTCATAATGTATAATAATAGCAAAAGAATAAAATCTGTTAAAGGGAATAACTACCTAACATTACGCATATTGTACCATAGAATATACTTCATTCCTCTCCTGCACAAGAACATTCACTCTACTGTCTCTTTAGGAATCATTTATCTTCCTTTTTCAGCATAGACACATTTTCAACGTCTATAAACACTCACACACACACAAAAAGCAGAATAATGAAATGCTATAACATATTCAGAAGAGTTTTTAAAAAAGTGCAACATTTTTTATACAAATATATCTCCTCTTGACGTGCCACAGTAGAGCGAGAAGATGGGGGCAGGCAGTGATATGCTGAAGTCTTGTTATACAATGATACACACTTACAACAAACAGTGATGTATAACATCAAAGTAAAGAAAATCTAAACAATGTGTCTCTAAGATGCTTCAAGACTACAGGATTTGGCTATGTGATTTTATCTACACTGTGATTTTTTTAATCGCTCTTGGTAGTGGGGGGGGGGGGCATTTCCACTTGACAGGAACAACTTGGAGCAGAATCAGAGAAAACTGATAAAGGTACCGACTTTCAAACATAAGAAAGTGATTTCACTGATTCACAGTCTTTCCTCATGACTATACTGCAATACAAGCACAAGCTTCAAAGACTAGGTAAAAGCCATTTCATTTGGATCATCTTTTTTAAAAGATTAGCTTTGAATATCAGTAATGCCTCAGACTAACATAATAGTTACAAAATCAGAAAATTCTTTGCTTCAGTTTGGTTAAACCTTTGGCCACACATAAAGATGTTATAAATAGTGACATATTGGCAACTTATTAAGTTTGAAGTTACAAAAATATAATGCGAGTCAAAAGTCAAAACACAGTTGCCATTTTCTTCATTTAGGACTACATAACTTCCAAACTCAGTATTCACAAACAATATATCCCTTCTATCCAAATAGTACAAAAATAAAATTCAAACTGCCACACTTATTGAGACATTGACGATATCAGTTACATTAAACCAATATATCTTACGGGGTTTGTGCTGTTTAGTTGGTTTACTGCTCCTCAAATAACAAGAGGTTCTGTAAAAATGTGGGAGTTCAGGAAAACAAAATAAAACAGGCCTCGGGTTGACTCGGTTATGCTGGTTTAAGTGTTGATAGTGGTTTTTTAGTAGTTCAGATGGATTCATCTGAAAGGTAGCAGTTGTGAAACCACTCAGGTCACTGAAATGCTTTTAACTGACATGCTTATATTGCTGATCAGAATGCCCGTCAAAATACAGATCATATAATTCACTGACACACACGAACAAACACATTACAAACATACAGAAATGATATACAGAAACAAATATTTTCTCCACTTCCCCAACTCATTGGTCTTAGCTCGATTAGTGTCACTTAACCACTTACTGAGCCTCATCAAGAGTGCTCATAAAGTCCTGTGGTGCACAGCTCATTCCTCCAGACCTGTAGAGGGCGATGTCTAATCCAAAAACATCAATGACATTCACACATCAAAGTTTTTTTTCTTCTTCTGAAGACTCCATTAGAGTGTAGTGAGGAAAATATGATTGAAGGATGCAGTGAGAGATCCATGAACTTGTAATGAATCAGAGTAAAATTAGTCTGTAGATGTCTTTCTCTCTCTCTCTGCATCTTTCTCTTACAGGAAACTGTCCTCCACCAGGTCTCCTGACTCTGAGTCTAAGCACATCTCGTCCAGCAAGGTGATGTCCTCCAGGGTCTCTCCTTCACGCTTGGTCATGGAGCTGCTAGAGCCTGTCTCTATTGCGCTTTCATCCGACGTCTGAGAGCTACAGAGAAGAAGAGAGGACAGTTCAGTCATTCATATTGTACCGAGTAACCGAGAAAGTTTTTAAATATGTCATAGGTATGACATTTTGTTGAAATGCAAAAAGAAAAAAGAAAAGAAAAAAGTAGGGATGCACCGATATGAAAATGTTGTCCGATGACGTTAACCGATAATTCTTTGAATTTGAAATCTGATAACCGATATATTGGCCGATAAATGTAAATCCAAATGTTTATATAATTTTTGAGAGCTTGATTAAACAAAATTCTCACCATTAAAAGCCATGTCTCAAGCAGTTCAACATAAATCAAACTAGTCTGGACCAGAGTAAATTTTAAAATTAATTTTTAAATGAATCCTATGGCCAACTTTCCTTACCAAAAAAAAAAAAAAAAGAAATTCAAATCATATTTAAGCAATTCAAAACCATTATGGTGAACAGTGTGCATCTGAAGTGTCCCAGCTGAAGGAAATAATATATTTTTTAATGGCTTTAAGATATCGGCCTAATATTCTCATCGGACTGATAACGATAACATTAAAAATTAACATATTCCGGCCGATACGATATGGTGGCCAATATATCACACAGAAAAAAAATAACAATTGATGCTATGAGATTGTTAATAGCAAAAAAAAATATTATATAACTAATTGTGTCATCATTCTAATATGCTGATTTGGTGCTTATAAAATATTTCTTATTTTTATCAATATTGAAAACAGTTGTGCTGCTTAATATTATTTTGGAAATGGTGATACATTTTCTTCCAGGTATTTTTTTTTATTTTTTATTTTTTTTGAGAAATAGAAAGTTAAGAAAAAAAAACGCATTTATGTTAAATAGAGATCTTTTGTAACATTTAATTATTTTGGACATACACAGCAGTTAAAATGTTTGGGGTCAGTAAGATTTGTTTTTTTTTTAAGAAATTAATACTTTTATCAAAAGTGCATCCTTTAATGCATCCTTGGGTGAATAAAAGTATTAATTTCCGTGGGATAAAAAAAAAAAATCTTTTGAACTGTTGTATATATGTCTAAAATCCTAAGAATCATTATTCTAACGTAATACCCCAAAGTGAGAATATAATGTCATTTGTGGGCTACCTGTGGCGGTTCCTCTTGCTGTAGTCTTCATTTGACAGTGGGTCGAGGTCCGGCAGAGGAATGATGTAACCGCTGTCAGAGCTGAGTCTTTGTTCATCAAAGCCGCTCTCGCGGTCCTTTAGTTTGCCCTGGTTCTTGTAGAGCACGCCCATGTACTCATCATCATTGTCAATACACTGCACCCGAGTCACAGCGGGGTGATCGCTCTTCAGGAAGTCATGATTCACACGTTCATAACACTGCACACCAAGAAAAGTTATAAATAACATTTGAATTAGTAAAAAATCATATTAAAATTATGTAATATAAAAAATTATACAAATAAAACATAAATGTACAGATCTAAAAGAGTATTACAGCAATAACAAGTAGAAAAACAAGTTTATTGAATTGGATTTATGTGACATGAATATTGTAGTTAATCTCAAATTAAGCTTGCCGTTCTTTCTTATAATGCGTCGTACTGAAAATGAGGAAATGAGGGAGAAATTGAATCATTTCTGGTTGTTGTAAATAGCACTTCAACGCCACCATAAAAACTGTTCAACCCCGAAGTTTCTGCAAGCGTTCTGTGGTTACTTGAGGGCTTACAGGCCAATTTACGAACCGCATTTCCCACCACACCCCTGCCCAAGGTGCTATAACAGGAGCTAGTTATTCCCTGGGCCATGTGACTCTGGGAAGCAGAGTTTTGAAGTACCACGTGTGGTGTCTGTTTAATAGAGCAATTATGGCTAGCTGGCGGACGCTAACTGTATGCTCCTGGTCATTAGCACTGCTGGGTTTCGCCAAGCTGGGGCGTTAACCAGCTGGAGCGCTGGTGTGCTAATCTCTGTTAGCGGTCTGGCAGTTTTGCCAATGATGACATAGCATAGCCAAGGCCTCAAAGCCCAGATTGACACACCACTGCATTGAAACTACAGGAAGTGGGAAGCCATTTCCACCATACTTTTATCTGGGCCATTTATTAGGGCATGGTGGGACATATTATTATATATTTTTTTAGTTTTCAATTTTAGTTTAGTTTGAGATAGTTTAATGGAGCATAAATACAGTAGATAGCATTTATTTTATTATTTATTTGGATATGACTATTGTAAATTTAATTTAGTTTCAGGGTAGATTTCATCCCTTATAACATTATTAATTGGTGTGGTGTCATCGATGTTAGATTAACTCTACCCTAAACATTTCATGTAGAAGGCTATGGTTGTTATTTTTTGTATATATCAATCAGATACCCCCATCTTGTCTTATTTAGTGGTTCTTTTTGGCAAAATACATGGTTCAGATGTCTTGGAAGAGATAAATTACAACACCAGATATTTATATTTATTTTTATTTTATCCATTTTTGTTCATATTTGTTTTTTCAAAATCGTTATTATAGTAAATAATAAATATATATATATATATATATTTAAAATAAAAACATATTCAAATCTTTATTTTCAATTATATTATAATAATAGCACAAATATTTTAGTTAAAAAAATAATTAAATGGTTTAGGTAAATGACTAAAAATATTCTCTCCTAAAAATGATTTCATCCCAAATAAAACTGAGACCATTTGAGAGTGATAAATCTCAATCTAATGTCCATGTTGCAAGCTTACCCTCTTATATCCTGAGGGCAGCAGAGAGGTCACCGTATCACTCAGGCTGTGGAAAGACGGTCTCTTCTCTGGTTCACTGTTCCAACACTTCATCATAAGCTCATAACTGCACATAGACAAACAACAGCACATTGGTCAGATATCTGCGGCAACCACAGCAAAGCAGTCACGCAAACTTCGAGATGGAACGTACACTTCACTGGAAGCATGCTCGGGTTTCGCCATTCGGTATCCACTCTTGATCTTGTTGTAGAAGCTGGAATCCACAACCATACCTGGATAAGGTGTCCCTCCTGCAGAAATGACAAAAACACATTATATACAGAGCATTTGTCACTTGTAAAATTTGTAAATAAATTCTAAAAAAAAAATATCTATGGTCATATTAATCATACCAAGAGAGAAGATCTCCCATAATAAGATGCCATAAGACCAGACGTCACTGAGTGTAGTGTACAGGTTATCAAAAATACTCTCAGGGGCCATCCACTTCACTGGAAGAAAAGTCTGTGTGTGAGAGACAAAAATACAAAGTATTAGAAGACGATTTTTCCAGCTTTTTTTTTGCCAAAATAGGGCAATGTGAAAATATCCATAATTCAAGATGATTAATCAATAACACCATATTAGCACTAAGACATTTACTCACACTTCCTTTGGAGACATAGTTGTTATCGTGCATGATATCTCTGGCCAGCCCGAAGTCACAGATCTTCACTATCTTGCCTTGAGACAGCAGGACATTACGTGCAGCCAAGTCTCTGTGTACACACTGTGTGAAACAGGGACAAATAGAAGTAAACAAGAGAGTGTGTTTGAAACAAAGAACCAAAAGAATATGTCACTATTTGACAGGTGAGGTTGAGACAGAGATGCACTTTTTCCTAAAATGTGAAGCGTTCAAAGACACAAGGAACCTTTACTTTAACAAATTTAACTATATAATCCCACATTTCAAAGACCTGAATGGAATTTCGAAATTAAACTTTCTCCTGGGAGAAGGAGACAAAACTTTTCTTGCAGACCAATATGTACAAACATGACACAACCTGAGGGGCAGTGAGTGACCGACACACACACACACACCAAGGATGCATTAAATTGCACTTTTGATCAATTTAATGTATCCTTAGTAAATAAAAATATTAATTTCTTAAAAAAAAAACAATCTTAATGACCCCAAACATTTTAACTGTTAATGCTATTTAACATAAATGCCGTTCTATATATATATATATATATATATATATATAGTATTTCACACATAGGTCATGTACCCTTACAGCCCCATCAAAAGGCTCACTATACTGATATTATATTCTATATAATTTAGCATTATGTTAAGACATTTTTAAACCCTAAAGTATAAAGAGTCTCACCAAGGAGCACACATACATACAGCACATATACATACATGAGGCCCATACAAATATTTATACAATTATTTTAAATGGCACACATTATATTCTTTCTATGAAAATGATTTATCAGGATGTCTTTTAATTATTAGCCATTTTATAAATCGGTTTTATTTATCTTATTTTACAGTCCTAATATTTTCTATGTTTAACATAGAAATATACTGTATAGTTACCTAAGATTCCTCTAGAATGTTCTTAAGCAACCCCTTTCCTAACCTAACTCCTTTCCTCAACGCTCTCACTCTCTGTCTTTCTTCAAGGGTGGTCTAGAAAGTCCACCTTTGTGGGATGAGATTTAGTAAACCCTCTGTTGCCGAATTTTAAACAAGAGGTCTAATTAATAGTTGCTACAACATAACATGAAATGATAGCAGCATCATTTTTACTGAGAGGTTTCAGTTTACCAGGGAAGTTCTGCAAACCCTCAATGTATTTTAACTATATAGCCACAGTGCATACAAGCAACCATTTTCTCAAAAATAGAAACCTGCCATCAAGTCAACTCCTCCGCAAAAACATCCAGAATCACTATAATGTTACGTCTCAATGTTATGTCTAAACTGCATAAGCAAGATCAAAAGTGTTTTGAAGCAAATGTTTACAGACTAAACTGGCAGAGGCAGTTCTCCTGCAAAAACAGGATTTAACTTACGTTCTTAGAGGCCAAGAACTCCATTCCTCGAGCCACCTGATAGGTGAAGCTGAGGAGGTCCACTGTCGTCAGGCCTTCATTGGTGTCATCTGAGAGAAGGTTCTCAACTTCACCGTCTGTTATTCACACAAACATTTTAAATTAGAACTGAATGCTCAAATTGATTTTGTGTGTGTGTAAAGTCTGAGGAATGGCAGGCAGATGGATGCATTAAGACGTCTGTGCTACAATTACCATCTGTAATTGCAGGGTGCTAGGACTGTAGTGACATGGGTGGATCTCTCTCCTATCACTAGCTAAACATCGGTGTACTGTATATGTGTGTGTGTGTTTCCTACAACGACCAGCCAAGCCAAACCAGACCACAGCATGCCAAACCAAACCGGAGTACGTGCAGTAAACGAGGGATAGACAGAAAAATAAAGTGCCAAAAGAAAAAAAAAATCAAAAGGATTAAGAATGAGAAAACAGAACAGGAAAAGGAAAGAGGAGGAGATGTGATTTATACTTAAAGGCATAGTTCAACCAAAAATAAATACTCTGTCATTATTATTGTCATTATTTATATGTTGTTCCAAACCTGCATGACATTCTTTTTCCCATAAAACACACAGGGAGAAAATGTTTTCATGCTCTTTTCAATGTAATTTCAATGTCATACAAGTCATACAATAGCTTTGTAAATTTGTCTATAGTCTAAAATTGAAGATGTTTTCACTGTTAATATTGATATGTGCTTCAGCTCTGCTTGGTACGAGTTAACGATTCGGCAATAACCATTTATGGAGTCTTTTCAGTGAATCAGTTGTACTTCAGAAGACTTGCAATAGTCATACATATGTACAGTATGTACAAATAGCTAGTGCAATATCACACAAGTCAGTCTTTATGATACTTCTATAGTCATTCTGAATAGACACATAGCTAACATATATTTAGAAAGCGTTCAAGACTCAGAATTACTCAGACTGTTATTAATATGGAGGTATATACAATCAAAACTAAAACAAAATAACAAATATTAAGTATATATATATATATTTAAATGGATAAAAATATTATGTGGCTGTGGTATAACAAATGTATAACCGCCATTAAAGTGAAGCCACAAATCTGAGGATTATATCTCTAAAACTGTGAATTTTGTGAAGCATTTTCTAAGACCATGTCATGTGAGTTTTTAGAGAAGGTTGATAATATGTTAATAAAATATTTTATTGCCCTGTAAACATCTACTTATAGTCTATTTTCTATTGCCTGGCAAGGAGAACTGCACCATTCATGTTCTATTGTTTTCCCTCGACAAAGCTTCCACACCTCTGTAGTTATGAGACTTAATCTTCATTATTCTTTTATCATAATTCTTTTGTTTGTATTCAGCCATTATTAGCTTTTATTCTGGAATTACATGGCCTGTCTTGTAAGCTTGAAAGCTTCAGTTCTCATTCATTGTTCTTGAATGATGGGAAAAAAAACAGAGGCTTTAAAATATCTGCTTTTGTGTTCCACAGAGGAATGAAAGTCATAGACGAAAGACGAAGAAGAAAGTCAACAACGTGAGAGTGAGGGTTAGTAAATTATGACCGAATATTAATTTTTGGGTGAACTATTCCTTTAAAAGATTTCTCTTACCAATTGACTGTCTGTAAGTGGGAGGATGGTCATAGTCTGATCTCTGGATGGGAGAGTATTTTGAAGCTTCACTCATTTCCAGCATGGGGACATATTGCATGGTGTCTGCTTGCTTCATGTCCATATAATCACCTTTCCCCTCAAAAGACAGGATGACGTAGCTGCACACACACATAAATACAGAAAGAATAAGTCTGGGGAGAACATATTGCTGTGTAAGGTCACTCTAGCCAAATGAAAACACTCACACCATCTGTATAGTTGGCCGTGCTAATGAATGATTAGATCATCTTATAGCAAAACAATCTGATGTGTAATATAAGTGAATGTGCAGAGATCATCAATCTTCTCACTGTGGGTTTACAAGTTTTCTTTTAAAGGTGACAAACTTCACTTTTGTTTTGTTCCAAAACCTTGTGAGCATTAAGCTGCCTCCTAAGATACCTAATTTTTGACAAATTAAGGCAGCCTGCATATATTCTGCTCATGGCAGTGTTGTTATTGTTAAAGGGGCTATGTGTAGGTTTTTACTTAAAAAATCTTTAGAATTCAGAATGTTTTAGACTTCATTTGTACATTCAGAGCCAACCATAATTTACACTTAGAGCCAACCAGAATGTACAATTAGAGTCAACCAGAATGTAAATTTGTACATTTAGAGCCAACCAGAATGACACCTTGACTGTCCACCACGGTTGCCTCTATCAACCTGTAAGCTCAAATGTGTGTGGAGGAGTCGGGTCCGAATTGGTGTGAAAATTCACAAAATGTGACGTCATGTGCGTTCTCGTTTACTTGGGCTTACATCCGTACAGCAGCCATTAGTAAGCATCGGCAATCGCTAGCAGTAGTGTTTCAAATGCGGACGGAAAGAAGCAACCAGCCTCAAGCACAATCCAGATACCCACGGAAACTCCTCTTAAGTAAAAAAATAAAAATAAAAAGCCTTATCTAGTGCAGCCAACGAGTGTGCGAGCGTATGCACCGAGAACGAGCATTAGACCGGCTGCAGTTTCTCTAACGGCCACTGGTGTCAGTAACGGTAAGAAATTTCAGAAGTTTCGCAATGCTCCTTTAACTAAAAGTAAAACTATTAAAGATATGTTTCATTTGAATTATTTTCACTTTTCATTAATTCATTTTAGAGGTCATGAAAAATAATTTTCACACATGAACTGGCACCTCTGAGTCCAGACCTTAAATTCCTTGAAAGTCTTTGTGATGTGCTGGAGAAGACTTTATAGAGTGCTTGACTTGCATTGTCAATACAAGTTCTTGACCAAAAATGTATGCACTTCTTCAATAGGTTTCTGCTGTATATCTGTGTTTTATTCAACTACAGCGATCACTGGGCATCTTTTTTCTATATTAGGGATTTCCTGGAACTTTACTCATGAGTCTTTCAGTCCTCCGGCGTTAAGTATGAATGAAACATAAATTACATGTGAGAGTTTAGAGCTCCATAATGCTCACATTGTACTATTTTGGGTAAAATAGAAGAAGAAATAAAGTTTTTATCCGAATGAGTACAATTTAGGACTAAAATTCCAGAGGGATATAAAAAACACAGAAAGGTGTCAGCGATTAACAGGTTAACGTAAAATTTCTGATTAACAAGTCATTTTTGCTGAATCCAAAAATCTTCCATACTGGCGAGTGACATGCTATGCTACATGCTACATCCAATTACATGCTTTTACGCTCACTGTGCTTGCGTTTTAGGTGGCAACCAGCGTTAAGGTGCAATACCGCCCCCTACTGTATGTTGGGATGTTAACCAGAGACTGGCTCTGGATTAATGATGTGCCATATTATCATATGTGTGCTATTCATTTGAAATAATACGGTTATCGCCAAAACCTGTATATTGTAACAGCCCTAATTAACAAGATAAAGATATTTCATTTTTCAAATATCACAATTATCGTCAATACAGGTATATCAAGACACCTCTACTCTCTACCTCTTTACTTGTCTTTTATCTCTATCTTCTCACAAATATCTTCACTTACCCAATTAGACTGCAATCCTGACACCCCTAATCTTCAATCAGATTAAAGAGCTAAATAAAAACAATTCCTAACTTCACATTTTAACCTAATCAATAAATGTTTATTATGCAGAAAATCTTGTGTATGTGTCGTAATGAGTGTTGGCTAACCTCCTACTGCTCTCATCGGCAGGGTTGATGCCAAAGATGTCTAGATCTTTCTTGCCCTTTTCTGTGTGGCGGCTGAGAAAACCATCTCTGTTCTTATGCAGGTAATTCACCAGGTCTCCATAGAAACAATACTCTGTGATGATGTAGATTGGTCCTGAAAAGAGAAATGGACAAAGAGAAAGAGAAAGATTGAGAGCAGTGTTAATAAAACTGGTCTAATATTATCAGAGCCTTGTAAAATGTCTAAAAGCAGGAGGTTAAAGATCTACAGTACATTGCACTTAACTCCACTTGTTAAAACACCACACACTATAAAAACCCACAAACCAAGAAGACTCCACCCTAGAGACTGTCTGTTTATCTTTGTTATCTGTGTGTTTGTGCATTTTCACCTGATTTGGTGCACGCTCCCAGAAGATTGACGATGTTTAGGTGAGGGCCCAGGTGGGTCATAATTTTCAGCTCTGACATCAAAGCCTGTTTCTCACTGGAGCGTGCTGTTGCTGAGGAAGCAGTCATTTTACCAATTACTTTACCATATTGCCAACAAAAATGAGCTTTTAAAATTATTAATCATCATAATTCATAAATGAGATATTGCTGTGTTTATCATCCTGCTTGTAAAAAAGCAGACATTTAATATATGCAAATCTGAACTGCTAGTCAAACTTAACTTACGTTTAAGCATTTTTACAGCCACTTTCATCACAGGTTGAGAACGACTGAGTCCGTAAGCAGTGCCCTCCACCACTTTCCCAAACGCTCCTGAGCCCAGGACACGACCTGCAACACACACACACACAAACTTTTCACTCATTTGCATAACCAGTGGATGCCACAGAAACATTATCTAGTGTAAGAGAGCATGCAAACCCAAAGTGCTTTTTGTAACTTTCAGTATTACCACAGCGGTTTCCTGTGCAAGACCATTTTGGATGTTTGAGTCAAAAACCTCAATCAGTCACCACACAAATCACCTAAATACAATCTGTGCAGTAGATTGTGATGTCAGATTACAAAACCACAATCCCATCAAGCACACGACCACAACAAAATGTCACTTAAAGATGGCTGAACAATAGTGAATCCACAAGACAAGATCATGGTGGACTGATTCACTACAACTGTGACTCACCCAGAACAAGGCTATCTCGAGAGAACTCCCAGCGGGAATCATATGGAAGCTGCATGGGATCGACATAGATGTATTCGTGACCGTCCGGACTGACCGATTCAATCACACGCCATCTGATCTCATAACGAGGTTTCTATAACACAGGTGCAGAAGGAGAGAGTGATGTGGTCAGGAACAGAGCTTACAGATACTGGAGTGCAGTTGAGAGGTGAGAAGTATCACTCACACACAAACAATGTGACATATGTTCAATTTACAATCTCATTTCAGCCCTCACAGAAGCTAACATGACTGTGTTGATGCAGTATGCCTATTCATACCTCAAATGTGTGTGATTGACTACAAGAATGAATGTAAGAGAGTGGGGATTTGTGAATGTGTGCATCAGTGGGTAAATATTTGAAAAGGTATGCTAGTGGACGAATGTGGGACTGAGTGAAAGAGCAAATAGGTCCATTACCATTTAAAATTGTTTTTTATTGTTTTTTTTATTGTTTTTGCTCTTATGCTCACCAGTGGTGCATTGATTTGATCAAAAATACAGTAAAAAAGTAATATTGTGAAACATTATTACAAACCTTTCTTATTGAATCTACATTAGAAAGTAATTTATTCCTTTGATGGCAGTTGTGCTGCTTAATATTTTTACGTAAACTGTAATACATTTTTGCTCAGGATTCTTGATAGATAGAAAGTTCAAAAGAACAGTCTTTATTTCAAACATAATCTTCTTTAACATTATTAACATCTTTACTGTCACATTTTATCAATGTAATGCATCCTTGCGGAATAAAAGTTAATTTCTTAAAAAGATTTTTTCAGACGCAAACTATTGGTTGTGATTGGTAGTTTAAATATGAATGAATGAATAAGCATTTAAAAGGGTGAGTAAGTGAGTGGTTGAGTCAATGGGGTCAAAATTAACGAGTGGAAAATTAACTATGTTTTATAGGCTATATGTCATGTTAGTCAGATGTATATTGCAACCTCGATGAGCAGATGAGCGTCTATTCATCAAGCCAACCCACCGCAAACTAACGCAAATCGTAAGTCGCAGACGCTTAACAAACAGTAATCTTCATTAAAAGCAAAGAAACGAAATGATCTTACCAGTTCTGTTAACGCTCTCATATAGCTGTCTTTGATTTTGAAATTAGCTGATGATCAATAAAATGCAGCTCATATCTGTTGCTTTCAATGACGTGCACTCCGCTGGAATTGAAGATCGGATTTATATGCGTTTTGCAAAAACACATTTATGTGGTCAGGTGTAAAAGGGAATCGTTTTGATAAATCAGATAGCTATCTGATCTGATAAAAATGGCCAGGTTTAAACAGTCCCAATGAGTCAGTGTAAGCAAATGAGTAAATGGGCAAATGATTGAGTAAATAAATGAGTGAGTGAATGAGTAGATGAATGAACGAGTACCTGTTTCCAGATAATGAGCAGCACAATGAGTGAGATGACGACAATGACCAGCAGCACCAGAACAGCAGCAGCCACAGTGAGCTCTGAGTGCGGACCTGAACACACCAGCAGCAATGAGGAAGTGGAGGGTGGAAATATGAAAGGATATGGTACAAAACTGATCTATGAAAACACTTTTGTATGCTATGTTAATCAAGGTGCCCAGTGTGAGCCATTCATTTAAGCTGTAACTTAGTGAAGCGAAACCCCTGCCAACAGAAACTAGTGTAAACACATATGGATTTGTTTCTAAAAGCAGTGGACGGTCCACCTGAGAAATCTATCACAGGAAAATGACATGGGGAGCCTGACAAGACAGGCACGAAATGAGGCCAACAGATGTTAGGACTACTGCAAGTAGCATTTGCTGAGTTTAAAGCACCATGATAAACAGATGACCACACACACAAACAGAGATGTTTCCTTCCTTACAATGAATGAAATTTCAACAAACAAAACTTCAGTGCAAATCTCCTCCCAGGAATTCATCCCTAAATAAACAATACACCTGTGATTCAAATAAGTTTCAAATCAGCTTAAACCTTTGTTTACCCTATGAATGCATGACAAACAGTGACACTGAGAGATTTATAGCACTTCAGGTGAATGGATTGGTTTAAAAAAATCAACTTTGTGGCTGTTAAAATAAGAAAAACAATCTCTGAAGAGACAAGAACAGGCTTCTTACCATTTGACACAAGTTTAACCTCCCGTGAAACAGCACCCATGTCATTTCTGGCCATACAGCGCACAGCAATCGTGCTCTCAAGATGGTGGAAAATGATGTGACTCTCGATGTGGTTGTCCACATCCATTTGGAGTTCCACAGTGATGTCCGTAGAGTTGATCGGAAGCGGTATCCACTGGGAGGAATCGTTGGCACAGCTGGTGAAAGAAGGAAAAGTGAAGTCAGCATGTCATTATGGCGACTTAACTTTAAACTCTAGGGATGTGACTGTGTCACCAGTTTGGACTGCTTTTATAGAAGGAAAGAGTGAGAAATTATGATCAAATTAAGGAAGACAGAAATACCTGTATTCCAATAAATGTAGGGTATCAGAGTGAAACAAGAAGGAAGACTGCTTACTGTTTAATGTTTTTGCAGATATACCAGTCCACGTCCGGGACAGGGGAGCCGCCAACAGTACACACCACTTCCTGACCTGCAGCAGAGCCATGTTGGATGTCAATCAGGTCCACAATCACAGGGGGAACTGTAAGAGGAGACAGATTTTTACTTTCCTTGCCAACATTCTTACTGGCCCCACCACAATTTTTTTGAGCAACAAAAATAAATTCATACTTTTATTCTGCAAAGATATCAAAATAATCAGAAGTTACAGTAAAGACATTTATAATGTTACGGTAACACTTTATTGAAGGGGTGTGCATAAGACTGACATGACACCTTCATAATCATGACAATATGAAGGAGGTTTCATGCATGTTTATGACAATTGTCATTAAGTGTCATTCGCTCAAGAATTACATTTTGAATGCAAATATGACATTGTCTGAGATGTCTTGGTAATGACAACTTGACATAAACCAATACATCATGTCTTTGTCATGACAACCTGACATTACTTAGACACCACAACCTGTCATAAATATGTCATACACATGACATAGCAGATGAATTATCAAACTTAAGAAACCACTTAGCTTTATGGGTTAACATTACATTAAACTGTCAGGTAGTTTGGTTATGACAGTCATGAGGCTATTATAACATTTTAATGACAAATTCAAATTGTAAAACTGTAGTTGAGGTCAAGCAAAATATTCATGACACGGTTATAATGGCCTCATGACAGCCAATATCAAAACCAACCACATGACAGTTTAATGTGATGTTAACCCATAAAGCTAAGTGGCTTCCTAAGTTTGATAATTAATCTGCTATGTCATGTTTATGACATATTTATGTCAATTTATTTTGTCTTGGTAATGTCAAGTTGTCATTACCAAGACACTAACAGCTTTGATGTATTGATTTATGTCAAGTTGTCATTACAAAGACATCTCAAACAATGTCATATTTGCATTAAAAATGTCACAATTGAGCGAATGGCACTTAATGACAGTTGTTTTTCATGAAACCTCCTTCATATTCATGACATATGTAATGTCATGATTATGAAGGTGTCATGTCTTATGCACACCCCTTCAAGTAAAGTGTTACCTACAAGTTTTCAATTGAAACTAAGAATAATATAACTTCATGGAAGCTACAGTATGACTTGATACACTTTTAACTTTATTTAAATAATTATGCAAAAAATACTGATTTTTTGATATTTCAGGAAACAAGTTTCATTAGTTTCCACTTAATATCTTGTGTATCCTTGAGCTTTATTTTTGAGCGTTGAATTGTGGTTAAATGTTTATTTAATACAAAGATCTCTTGGTTTCATCTGTCAATTTCAAAAGCTAATTTTTAACATAATTAAGTACAATTAAATGGGTAAACTTGAGTAACATTTTTAAACATTACCCTTTACTTTAACATGGTGTAACTATTTTCAGTCCTCTGTTTTGAACACACACAGAAGATGTAGCTACAGATTGCTTGACAAAGATCCTCCAGTTGACAACAAGAAAAACAAAAGCAAATATATGTAAAGAGTGCTGAAGAAAGATATAGAGGTGCATCGAGATAAATCAACAAGCAGAGGCAAAAGCAAACACATGTAAATGTAGGAGTGACAGAATCAACCTGTTGGTACAGAAAAAAAAGGTCCCACCTTTAACCTGAAGGTAGAAATTGTAGCTGGTAGTTAGGCTGCCTATTTCTGCCCTGATGGTATAGTTCCCACTGTCCTCTGCTTTAGCCCTGATCAGGGTCAACACAGCCTGGTAACTGAACAAACCACACAACAGCTTTAAATCAATACTTTTACAATATTTAAGCACAAATAAAATTTATAAATACAGCAATTTTAGTCACTTGTAATACAGAAGATGTAAGCATGCTACAGTGCTCAGATGAGGTTGGTGAGATGGAAGTTGTGGTCACCTGGTATCGCTGATTTCCAGGAGGATGGTGCTGATCTCTGCAGCAACGTCTCCCAGAACGGAACCGTCCTTTAACCATGTGACTTTAGGGGCGGGTAAAGACTCTATGTCCACCCTGAACTCTCGCACCTCATCCAGCCTAGTAGTCTCCACTGGACCAATCAATGGGTTTATGTGCACAAACTCATGATCTGTACATAAGGGCAGATTAGGAATGCAAATTAATTACTGTCACGTATACATGTGTGAATCAGCCTTAAAGGGATACTCCACTTTTTTTGGAAATAGGCTCATTTTACCACTCCCCCAGAGTTAAACAGTTGGGTTTTACTGTTAACGAGTGTATTCAGACGATTTTTTTGATATTTAGAAGAATATGAGTAACCAGACAGTTTCTGGTCTCATTGACTTCCATAGTATATTTTTTTCCTACTATGGAAGTCAATGAGACCAGAAACTGTCTGGTTACTCATATTCTTCTAAATATCAGAAAATCGGCTGAATACACTCGAAAACGGTAAAACCCAACTGTTTAACTCTGGGGGAGTGGTAAAATGCCTATTTCCAAAAAAGGTGGAGTATCCCTTTAAAGCATGTGTCTGTGTAAGTGTATATGTGATCTCTGTACCATAGACGGTAATAGTGAGCTCTTTGGTTTGGCTCTCGTTGCTGTTAATGTTAGTGATGGAGCAGGCGTAGACGCCGCTGTCTTTCGGTGAGGCATTAGTCACTCTCAGAGTATAATGGATCTCAAGATCTCGCTCACTCTCCTTCACGGTCTTTACTCCTCTATCCGCCTGAGAGAGAACGACAGAGGCAGAATATAAATGTACAAATATCAGATATATACGGTACAAATAAAAGTACAAATATACTTATTTTGAAATTGTATTATTTTCTTTTATTGTATCTAGGTTAAACAAGATTTGTGGGAAGGTGGAGTATATATATATATATATATATATATATATTTTTTTTTTTATTATTGAATTGTATTATTATTATTTTGGAGATGTTGTTCTTACCAGTTTCCCAGGGTATTTCCAGTGATCCTCCAACATCATGCTGCCTCTGGCCACACAGTCAACAGTGATTGTCTCACCCGCCAGCAGAGCCTTCTTCTCCGCTCGTAGCTCAACCCTCAAATCAGACCCTCCTGAGAAACAAGTGAAATTCAGTTGGTTTAATGCATATATATATGGAATAGTTTAAGTTTTAGTCATTGAATATGGCAATTTTAATGTATTTGGTCTCTGCAGAGTAGAAGCCTACTAGGACTAGATCTGCTGCGCTGCTGCTGCTATAGATTATTGTTGCAAGTATGGACAAAAACCTTGAGTACAATTACAATTTTCCTCTTTTCCAATTTTTCTTCACAAGTAAAATCTTGTTTTGAAGTTATTTGGATTAAGAATATCTCGATTTTTTAAAACTATAAAATAAACTGACCTGTCCAGCCATGAACGATGTACTGTGTGCTGTCATAATTCTGTCCATTAATGAGGGCTCTGCAGACATACGTGCCAGCGCTGAAGAGGCCAACGAAACCTCTCTTGCTGTCATAGGCACTGGGCAGAACCTGATTGGTCTCAATGTGAATCAGAGAGACGCTGGCGTCGGGGTCTGTCACACGGCAGGGAATCTCCATTTCATCATGACTCAAAACGTGGTTTTCGAAAGGTATCATGAATGGTACAAACGGCGTTTGTGGGTCTGTGTGCGTTGATGGATAAAAATGTTTAAAGGGAAGAAATTCAATGTCAGTTCACCATGTACAAAAGGCTAACATCTTTTCAAACAACTTCACTGCAACAATCCAGCTTGTAAAATAAGAGGGGGGAAAGCCTAGCTACCTGGCACATAGATGTAGATGGTGGTCTTCTCAGTGTTGTTGCTGAATTCATAGCTGCAGCTGTATTTTCCTGTGTGAGCAGCTGTCGCATTGCCAACAGTCACAGTGGAGATGAAGAGTCCTTTCTTTTCAGAGTTGGTCTGATCATGAAGATTAACAGGGCTGTCCCAAGTGAGCTCGGCCTGACCTCGACATGTGAGTCTGAAAGTTGAGTGGAGAGACACCTCCATGCTCTCCCTCTGGGGCCACATCACTGGAGCCAGCACTGACTGTGGCAGCTCAGGGTATATGGCTGTACAACAAAAAAAACACTTTGATCATGAAATGAACAAGTATTTGATTTTCTCATATACATCTGATGCATACCAATGCTTTAGATTCATTCATAGTTCGGCTGTTTTATATAATCATACCCTCAACCAGCAGTTTGAATGAAAATCTTGAAGTCCTGGAGCCAGTCGACGCAACAACCTCATAGATGCCACTGTCCTCTTCTATGGGATGCCGGAAGACCAGAATATTCTCATATCTTCATAAGAAAAAGACGTGGTATTATGTAACTGGTGGCAAAGCTTTGTTAACAAAGGTAATTTATTAGGTATTATGAACTAACCATACAGCATTTATCAATCTTACTCAATGTTAATTTGTACATATATTTATAACATTTCAAGTTGCATGAATAGTTAAAAATTAACCTTAAGCTGAAATTACAGTAAATGACAATTTATTTATGTAGGTAAATGTTTTTAAATATAAAAGTTTTATAGTATTTTTTATACTATATGTATAAAAAATACATCCCTACAATATTTATTTATCAGTATTTTATGTTAATTTTTAAATATATAAAAAAATACTTTTTTAAGCATTTATTTATTTAGGTTAATAAAAAGTGTTCCCATAAAACCCATTTTGTGAGCAATTTTGTGAAATTCTACCTGAGGCCACCCAGATGAGTGGTCTTGGTGGAGATGTAGCGGTCATCCAGCTGAAGGCCATCTTTAAACCACCTGACCTTTGGCTCAGGGTCAGCATCAATGTAAATGGTGAACTCTTTTTCCTCCAGAAGAGACGCAACTTCCGCTGGCCCAATACCATTAGATATTACTTCCACAAAAGAGCTCTCTACGGAAAGAAAGAAAGAAAGAAAGAAAGAAAGAAAGAAAGAAAGAAAGAAAGAAAGAAAGAAAGAAAGAAAGAAAGAAAGAAAGAAAGAAAGAAAGAAAGAAAGAAAGAAAGAAAGAAAGAAAGAAAGAAAGAAAGAAAGAAAGAAAGAAGATTGATGACTGTCTACCCCACATCTGTTCATCCCATCTCCGTTTACTGGTTTTAATGGTGAAAGCAGGGGTGTGCAGAATCTAAGTGAGAAAGGGAAGTACATACCGTGGACTGTGATCCACAGGCTGCTGGATTTGGTTTGTCCATTGATCTGGTTGGTTACAGAACACTCGTAGCGTCCAGTGTCTGCCACAGAGGATTTTGGGATGTTGAGGATGTACTGAACCTTGTCTGGGAAAGCTAACTTTATCGGAACAGCCTCTCTGGCCTGAATAGTGAGAGACAGAGGAGAGAAAATAAAGAGCAATATTACACACATTGTGTTTACTGTGCACATGTGGAATTATAATAGATACTGAAATAGTTGCAGATTTAAAAAAAAAAAAATGTTCCTTCTGTAATCTATTTAACCTACTCCATTTATATCAGTCTTTTCTTTGCAAAGATGCACTTTAGCCTCTGTAACACATATTCTCTTCCAGGACTAGTCTGTGCCTGCTGGAGATAAATCAGCTCTCCGCAAGTCTTTTAAAGGGCTGCAATCAGACAAGCAGCAAACTCATCATAAACAACCCAGCAGAAGCAGCAGTCCAGCACAGCTCCAGACCAGACAAGGACTTGGAACTTCTCTACACAATTCCACACTGCTTTCAAAAACCAATGTCTCTTATTTTACTGTAAAGATAATGCTTCTGACACTCATCTATAACAAACATAGATGGTGAGCTACATCACACTGAAATATAAACACATATATCTCCCACAAACACTCAACTAACTAACTAATTTTGATTTGGAACTCACTTTCACCACCAAGTAAAACAAAAATGACATCAAATAAAGCTAAAACATTTGTTTTGAACTTTCTTTCATCATCATTCTCACACACACACGCAAAATTACTAACAAAAATAAACACATTTTGATTAAGAACTCACATTAATCATCAAACACACAAAAATATTACAAACATTCCCACATGGAAGATAGATAGATAGATAGATAGATAGATAGATAGATAGATAGATAGATAGATAGATAGATAGATAGATAGATAGATAGATAGATAGATAGATAGATAGATAGATAGATAGATAGATAGATAGATAGATAGATAGATAGATAGATAGATAGATAGATAGATAGATAGATAGATAGATAGATAGATAGATAGATAGATAGATAGATAGATAGATAGATAGATAGATAGATAGATAGATAGATAGATAGATAGATAGATAGATAGATAGATAGATAGATAGATTCCCACACAAGACCAGTGAGAAACACACATCTGCCCTGAACACACACATGGCGTGCAGGTCACAGGTCAAAGTACACAGTAAATTAGTGTCATTCCTTTCCTTTGAGGTTTTACCTTCACTTTTTTAAGATTACATTTTTTGCATTTTGTACTACTTTAACATAAAGAGTGAAGGAATACTACACCAGAAAACACCTCTGCATCACATCAGAAGTCTTCAGTTCTAGAGTTTCAGAGGAGCCAGTTTTGCATATATTAGGGGAGAGAGAGAGAGAGAGAGAGAGAGAGAGAGAGAGAGAGAGAGAGAGAGAGAGAGAGAGAGAGAGAGAGAGAGAGAGAGAGAGAGAGAGAGAGAGAGAAAAAACGATTTTTGGTTGAGGTTCTTGCCTGGTTTTGGGGATGCAGCCACTGCTGGTGGAAAGCCTTTCCAGGAGGAGTCTCACAGGTGAGATTGACAGCATCCCCCTCTTTCACAGAATCCATACTGGCTCTTAGCTGCATGCTGAAGCCCTGCTGTTCTTCCTCGTTCTCATGCTGTTTATCATCTTCGTCATCTTCAATACAATCGGAATCATTCAATAAACAAATGCTATTATAAAACTCATTTTTGTCTTCTATTAATAATAACAACGTGTGAGTAAAAACAGGACCAGTTACTTGATGCAAGGACTTAAACTTAGTTCAAGACCAATGCAGAAACACCCAACCATTTTATCAATCATTTCGACTTATTCCTGTACAAATTCCTTATGCATGGCCTTCGACAGCCACTAAATGTTCTTCTCATTAATAATGTGAGGTGTGTGATGATCCAAAATGAAGCAAGTGTAAGTAATCTCACACCTGCAGCCCACCCCACCTCAAAACGTCATCATCTCTTCATCAACAAGAATTTGTAATCTCCCTTGGTACTCATGTAATATCAAAGCTATGACCTAATGTTTCACTTTATGGTCCATTATACAATAGCACTTTAGATATTCTACTTTGCAACTGTCAATGATCAGTCATCATTAGAGTGTTAGTATAAACTTGTCCGCTTAATATCTGCTAAAGCTTTATTTTGATGCCCCCCAACAGACATTCTACTGACTGTAAGTAACTTTGCAAGTACATGTCAACTCATTGTACTTACCCTGATCTAACAGTCTACTAATCAGAGGGTGAACTGATTTTACCAAGTACAACATGTTCCTGGATCAACTTCTTTGTTGATCCTGGAAAACATTCCAGTCAACCAATCAGATTTGAGGGACAAGTTTACAGTTTATGTCAAGTTTAGGCTTTCAATCGGTGCTTCTACGTCATTGTTATATTCACACATAATTTCACTCTGATTTTAGGGGAATGTAATGGGTAGGGTTAGGTTTAGAGGTAGGGATAGGGTTAGGACTAAATTTCCAGGCAGGAATGTTGTTCCAGGATCAACAAAAAATGTTGATCCAGGAGCATGTCTTACTTGGCAATATCACAGTGACCCTAATTAAGAGTTAGCTGACATAGTTGCAAATTAGAGAGAAATACATGAAGTTGCGAAGGTACGCTGCATGTGAAAAAAGATTGGTGCCTTACATTTTTAAGTAGTCTATAATCAACTTATATATTTAAGTCATTTCAACTTAAATTACATCGAACTGACTTTAAAAAAAATTAGTTGAATCTTAGCCAACAGTATATTACCTATTAAACAACCTAGCTAATGAGTTAATGCAACGTAAAAAAATGTTGTCATAACTTATTACTCATATATTTTTTTTAGAATGTCTTAAGTGGCCTATCGAAATAAGTTGTAGCCTAATCTAAACACTCTGAATGTTTAATTATTTGGAGTGAATGAATTACCCGTCACAGTATAAACGCTGCTCCTCACTTCTTTGCCATTCACGCTCGTCTCGCAAACGTATTGACCTGGTGATATTATGCCGATAAAGCCGATCTTGTGGTCGTAAAACAGAGAAACCTCATCCCCACTCTGCAGGTCTCTGAGAATCACTTGAGAATGTGGGTTTGTAGCGAGACATGGGATAATTATGCCCATCTCATTTGTGTCAACAACAGGTTCAGACACGAATGGAACCTCAGGATCTGGGGAACAAGAGGTGAGTCAAAAACAAATGTGCTAACAATTTTTAGGCTATTGAGTAGCTTAGATATGAACAATAACGTACCTGGAACAAAAACGTAGATATCAGCGTATCTTTCGGGATGATCCACATATTCGCAGGCATAGAGACGTGTGTTTAATGCCTCAACATCAGTGATCACCAAAGTACTGTGATTAAACCCGGAATGCATTTCGCTGTTGTCCGGTAATGGCTCGGCCCATCTCACTCTGCTTTCTCCAGAGCATGTGATGTTGAACTCCGAATGAGGTGTCAGAATAAATTCTTTTTTATCTGAATTAATGACCGGCCAAGGTTTTGAAACATCTGGAAATATTTAATGTATTGAATAAATTATACTGTAGCTTAAATAGCATGCATATATATATATGAAAAAATAGCATTAATAAAAAAAAACGTATTGTACATTATACATTTTGATTAATACTATTTTTTATTTTATTTATTTTTTTATTTTAATAATATAAAAAAGGGTTCTTTTATATATATATATGTTTTTTTATTATTCCACATACCTGAAAATGCCCCTAGTAAGACAATCCCCAAAACGAGATGTGTCTCCAGGAATCCCATGGTCACTTTGATTGTGCTCAGCTGAAAGGAAAATGTTACGATTTTAAATATTTTAAGAAAATATTAAAATTATACATATAACTTTTTATTCTTTTTTTCAGTTCTGGGTATGATCACTTGTTGTTTATCCAATGTAAAAAAAAAAATGAACCTCTATTAGCTCAGGTAGCCTGAATCATCGGAAGCAGACAGTTTTAGAAAGGTTCAGTGCCAACATATAAAATGTCTTTAAGAGTCTGGACACTGTTCAGTCAGTACTGACGCCAGACTCTTGTCGGGGGGAGCGCTTGGATAGATCGGTTCAGCTTCAGCTTTTTGACCAGCAGGTGGAGACACAGAACTACACATTTCCCCCGAGTAGAAGCAACAGATACGAGGTTCCAAAAATTACGAACAGATTTTGACTTTTAACACCCTAAACCATACGCATACCTTAAAATATATAAGACATAGCTCATATGGACAAATCTCAGTATTAAGAATGGTTTATCTTTGTAGCCTACACTCTAAAAAAATGCTGGGTTGTTTTAACCCAACTTTGGGTCAAATATGGACTAACCCAGCCGTTGGGTTAAATTTTTACATTACATTTTTAACCCAACATTTCGGGTTTGTCCATATTTGACCCAAAATTGGGTTAAAACAACCCAGCATTTTTTAGAGTGTACTGCTGAGCGGGAGTTATAAGTGGTTGACGGTTTTATTTATTTAAAATCTATATTTTTCTATAGATTTGATCTATCTAAATTAATATGCAATTAAATTTGGCCGTGTGAAATAACATTTATATTCAAATGTTTTATGAACTCTATAGTTAAGACTAAAGTGCGTAAACAAGATTACAGTGCTGAAGCACACATTGCTGCATTCTGTTATGTTCCTGTGATTCCAAATGTCCCGTCACTGGTCTTAAAAGCTTGCCTTGCCGCGTTTCTAATCAGACATTCCACGCGCGCGTGTTTTATCTCTGTCTGTCTAATCCTCAGACCCCTGGGTTCCATCAGCGCTTCAGAACACAGCCAGTGTCACTCAATCTGAAGTGCTCAGCTCTTTTATTGCCGAATTTAATTTATCCTAACAAAATGCACCCATTTAATTGGTTCTCTGTAAAATAATAATACTAAATCAAGGTAAATAATTGATGAAAGCATATCCTGTTCGTTAAAACTTTTGTGACAAAATATACCGCAAGGTCTAGCCTACTTCAAAGTGAAGGGGGGAACTCTTTTCTTTTTTTCCTTCTTCTTCTTTTTTTCTTTATTTTTTTTACAGCCCAGAGAAGACTGAAGCTCTGCCATTTGCTCATATCAGCCCCACTCAAACTAATTATCCTTGGTGAATCCGGGGGTGTTGAGTAAGACTGTAATTAGTCGACCCCTTTCTGTGCCGCAATTTGGGAATCAATTGGATTGCCGTGGGAATCACTTCTGGAATGGCAGACGGGTGCTCTTTTGGTACCGCTCATCTATCCAGCGGTGTCTGAAAGCACTTTTCTCCGCTAACCCCCCATCACCAGGCGCCCACACACAGATGCGCAACTGGCTGCCAAACACACCCGATCGGCTGCGCTTGACACTCTTGGGCAACAGCTGAGCGAGGGGTGCCATCCAACACCCGGTTACTTCACGCGTAAAAACGATTTCCATGGGAATACAAGAAAGCGCTCTAAAGATAGCCTGGTGAGGTGAAGTCTCATAGAGCAGTTGTAATCGCTTCTTTTAATTCATCCAGTTACAGCCTTATTTTAGTCAAAGCGGTATCCTTGGTAAATACTACCTAACTTGCATTAAGTTAATCCAGATGTGAGAGAAGTTCCCCATTCATGTAGCTTCATCATCGACGCGGAACTCAGCTCAGAAGGCGGCAAAGAAGTTTTTCTAAACTCCTCAGTCGTAGGCTACTTTGACTTCATCGCTCCGCAATAAATAAATATCCATTCCACTGACTAATCCAAAGAAGGGTATTCCAGAATGGTCATCCCATTTCAATTTTGATGGATAAACAAGGCTCAAAATCCAATCTGAAATGTGTTTGCCATTAGATGCCAGTGCTGCGCCTCTCCAAGGGCTGAGACACCCCCAGCTGCGCGCCTGTGGCCCCGACTGAGATCCAGCAGACCCAGGCTTTGACTTTACGAGTGATAACACGGTTCCTTGTGGGGAAACAAGTATATATCCTCCTCGATGGTGTCCAGAATCAAAGTGAAAAATCCGTTTATTTATTTTTTTCTGTGCTGAAAACGAATGATTGACTTGTCCATTGTGAGCGTTTATGAAAAAAATATTAACATCGACTTATCATTTAAAAGTAAAATAATTCAGTGAGTTATTATAGGAATAATTTATATATTTTTTTGTTTTGTTTATTTTTTACTAGTCGTCTCAGAAATTGAGAAAACGAGGTAAATTAAAAATGCAATTGTTATAAAAAAGAAATAAAAGAACAGCTTTAATTAGTCTAATCCTGAATAAGTGCAATTGTGCTCAAAGGTCTGGTGGAAACTTTGCATGAAAGAAAATGCAAAAGAAACTAATTAAACTAATTGAAACATACAATACCTTTTTAATCCCTTTTGGTTGTTCCCTTTGATAAAAAAGAACAGCCAAAATGAATGGCAAAGCTCTTGTAAAATACTCTAATCAGCCCAAGGGTCCTCAGTTGTAAAGCAGTAGTAATCCTCTCCCTTATGCTGTGCTCCTCCGTCCTGCACCACGGCCACTCACACAAATGCGCCTCTGCAAGAGCAACCTGTAATTGATTCAATGTTACAGTCCATCCTTCCCAGAGAACTAATCATCTGGCTCAAAGTAAATAACTCTCAGGAAACGGTCCCTCCTCTCTCCCGCTGCCCCCAGGCGTCCCTGTCAAAATAAGAGTCCGTGTTTTCACACTGCGGCTCCGAAGAGGAGTCAGATTACTCCGTGCTCTGCAGTTCTGAAGGAGGTGCATATGAAAAGAGGTTGAGCAGGGAAGAAAGGGACCATATGTTTTTTGTAAGTCTAAGAGGGGGCCCTTTTGGAATAAAGGGATCTTTTTTGGGGGGGACAATGAAGTCAAGTGACCCATTAAAAGTGTTTTTATAGAGGCTTAGGTAGGAAAGAAATCAAAGAATTGCGAATGCCCAATTACATTCAGTAACTCGATTAACCTTGTCATCACGCTTCATTCTTCATATTCAGCTTTCCGACGCTTGCGCTTTTCAGTGGTGGTTGCTGGTGCAGCTATTTGCACTTTCTTTTATGCATATTGATTCAAGCTGACTTTCATTTGCGGTTGTTCTGTCATTTCTGCGACTTTCAACTTTGCAGTGTTTGTTCAGTCATTCATTTTATATTGATTTATATTCTCGGATACTATAGTTTAATTTTGTGACGAGTGCTGTGTTGTGAAATCATGGGACATTCAGCAGAGAAAAAGAATCACTAAATTGTTGGTTCGTCATTGATACGTACATTGGCATGCAAGGGGGCGCTCTAACATAAGAAACAAAAGCAGTCTTTCACTCTCTCCCCCCTTTATTAGCCTACTTTTTTAATAAACCGCATACAAGACATATCATGAAATTTGAACTGTATACCCTATACAGGTTTTTTTTTTTTTTTTTGTATTCGATATCTGAAAATAAATACGTGGAACATTCCCTTTAGAAACAAAAAATGTCACCACCTCTTTTCTTTCCTTTTTTCCTCCTTTTTCTTCAAGACATAGCAGGCTGCAGATAATGGCTCATTATGATTTGGCACTCAACATGGTCCTGCACACGGTGGGTTTGCAGCTCTGTGCAGATGACTGACCCGGACCCGGTATGTGGTGAGTGAAGCCCCGGGGTAGGCTTGGCCCCCCTCTAGCCCTCTCCGTTCTTCCTGCAGCCGGTCCAGAAGAGCCCGAAGTCTTGCAGCTCACCCTCGCAGAGAAACACACATCTCCAGTTGCTCAGCACAATTATTTCCACATGTTCGTGTCGCCCGGCCGCACAAAAGAACAGAGTCCCTTGTTCTGGAAACAAACGACTCTAATCGGACTAAAACCGAAGCCTTTAGAAATAGCTCGCGGGATACCTTGATCGGCGCTTTAGTGTGGAATCGTTTAAATGCACTGAAGTGTGCAAATTGTTGTCAACAAATACGCGCAACTATGCAGGTTTGTTATTGTTTACTTAAGATATCTGCATTAAAGGTATTAATCAACGAGCTTAAACAGACATGCCACACCATAGAGGATGGCTACCTGTGATATGAAAAGTTTCCAAATTAGGCTACTGAACACAGCTGAAGTCTCAAAAGGTGGCCTGAAAAGTTGCCGCTATTTTACCAGTTTCGCGATTGGGCTGTAATTTGTATTTAATAATAATGTTTAATGCAAATTGTAATTTTTATTTAATAAATGAGTTCCAAAATCTAACTTGACACTACCGCGGGACTTGTTTGTTCTTATTCTTAACAACGGCGAAAATATTAGATAACATTCCATTCAGCGATAATGAGACTGCTGGTCGGAAATCCTAGATTTAGGTTTAGATAGAAGAATGTCCAGAATGGGACGAATGCGTGAGCGGGAGGGAGAATCTGTCTCAGCCACGGGACACCAGCAATTCAGGCCACCTCCTCACAGTACGTCTGACGCCAAGATGAATAAATATGCGCATACAGAGAGGGGTTTCGGCAGAGCTGAGTTTCTAATCTTTAATTTATAAGGTTAAAGATATTTTTTAAAGATTCTGAAAGGATAGGTTTTTTAATCATAGCCCTATATCTGCAGAGATATAACCACATGGTGGCGTATATGTCCATTGCTGGGATAGCCTACATCCATCTCTACATAACATCTCATGAACTGGCTGAATAGAAGACATTTTGGTGTGAAAAACTTGAAATTACCGGCAGAAAATAACATCCACACAGTTTGAGCTGGTCCAACTCTTCCCCTCTCTGACCAAGATAGATAATGAGAATTCTGAACTCGGACTATTCTGTCACTTATGGTTTTCTGTCCATTAGTTCAAACAGATTTCAGATCCGGTGAGCAGTAGTTGGTGACATGGAGTCACACTCCTTAAATGGTCAGTTGTCATCGGGCTCAGTCTGTCGCGCTGTTTTCACACACGCGCTGTCCAGCGTGCTGAAGCTCGCAGCTTTTTTTCTCTTTCTATATCGGCTATATATTTGTGGGCGTGTGAGCGTGTGGCCGAGGCAGAGGCTGTACTGCTCTGCGCGGAGGAAGTAGGCCTACTTTATAATGAATAAAGGCTGGCCTTAGACGCAGAAAACCGAACCAGCACGGGCGTTTAGCCCAGGAAGAAATGAAGCTTAAGAAAATTATTTTCCTATGGGTGTGGGATGTCCAGAAATCCGAAATTTCAAAGCAAAAATGAAACAATAATTTCTATAGCTTTTATTGGGTGAACAAATTGCCATATATTCTGCATATAGGCTTATCTGTTAAAACGGGTCCCTAATAATAGGCTAACTTTAGTTTTGTCCAGATTTTCTTGTGATTTTATTCCCTAAAAGTCTCTCTATTCCAAATCTTCAATCCTGCTGCTTTCAAAAGGAAGACAGGAAAGAGTTGCAGAGTAGATGTTGAATCTGCAATGACCAATTTGCATTAAACTTGGTTTGCATTGTCAACAGGATATTCCGAGGACAAGCACCAAAATTCCTCAATTTCCGACCATAATGGGCGCTAATACCGAAAAACACTTGTAACTGCAACCTTTCTCGAGAAAGTTGAATTTGTGGTTTATTTTGGAGTTTGTTTGCTGCATGTACCAACATAACCATATATAACATTTTATCAAATCAACAAAACTGCTAACAGCCATAAAATTCAACAGCCTTTTATTGCACGGCCAGAGCCTCGCCAAGCCTCGCCATCTTTATGCAAAATGTCCCACTGTTCCCTTCCATTGGGCCTCTTTTGGCAAATAGAAATAATTTTGATGTTTGAATGCTTTTTAATATAAAAATCAGATTTAAATTAATGTAATATTTTTGACCTTACTTTTTCTTGACTTATCAAACCTCTGTTTCTCTGTATTGTCTTTTTCCACTTCATGCACCTGTACTGAATCCACATTTTGAAATCGTGTTCAGTCAGGTTTAATGTTTCAGGCAGAATGCCTTCAAGGCTGTAAAATGTAGGCTATAGGGCCAACTTGTTAAAAAGAAGCCCTTTCTCCAGTTCCAGAAGCTGAGGCCTATGTTTATTTGGTCTGGCTCCTCTTGTTGTCCTCGCAGAAAAAGTTTTGGGAGGTGCACGTTCAGTTAATCAACTCAATAAGAGCGACAGGAGGTATATATACATCAGACTTACCCCTGTCACACAAAGGTTTTCCAGCATTCCTCCACCACCCCATCTTCTCAATCCTAACTATCCCAGCCTGGGATGGGTACTTTGGGGTACCCATCGGAGAGCACACCAAATATGCATACTCTTTTATCTGATTGGTGTGAACTTGTGAATTACTTAAAGAACAACATACAATTGATTACAATGATAAGCATTGATATGTTTTATTCATTGAGATTATTTTAGACCTCAAGCCTGCTTTCCAACTTCAATATAATCAACAAATAAAGAACATCAGAGAGGAAGTTTAGGACATTTTTTTATTCCAATAAAGCCTGGAATAAACTGTGTACTTGAGATCTTGAAATGGCACCTGTTCCCCACACGGCTGTAATCAATCAATCAATCAATCAATCAATCAATCAATCAATCAATCAGTCAGTCAGTCTGTCTGTCTGTCTGTCTGTCTGTCTGTCTGTCTGTCTGTCTGTCTGTCTGTCTGTCTATCTATCTATCTATCTATCTATCTATCTATCTATCTATCTATCTATCTATCTATCTATCTATCTATCTATCTATCTATCTATCTATCTATCTATCTATCTATCTATCTGACACTGATCCCTTATTTCCACCTGAATAAGTTGGTCAAAGTAATGAATAATATTCTATATTCATATAATGGACTTATCTCATTCAAAGTTGATCTCTTTTTACAACGGCTATACATTCTAATCAAGCCACTAAGCACACTTGATAATAGTGGGAACGCTCAGAGGCGCAACAATGGGACGCATAAAAGAGGAGTTGACACGTCTCAGAAAGGACCCATTCTAGAGAGCGCGACAAAGCGCACATATTGTGTGATGACCGAGTTCCCACTAAATTAAGTAACCATGGACAGCTCTGATGGGACACGTGTCTAGAATTCGCAGTTCCAACAACTTCTCGGAAGGCCAAACTATGTCCTGAAGTTCAAACGATGCTGGAAAAACTCGACGTGAGTGTCACATCAACCACGTTTATTAAGACTATTAAAGAAGCGATTTCCACGACTGAAGACAAAACCGGTTTTGGAGGCATTCATTGTCCGAGTGCCCCACTTCTCTCAAGGCGAAAGCAGCTGCAAGCGCTTAAAAGGGGATTCTATTAATTGCTCTTTGTCATGCGTATAATTGCCCATTTTGCGAAAGAAGGTAATCTTTTAAAAGCTGAGATGTACTTTGTTTCCATTTTATATTTGATTTTAAGCATCGGATTCTCAAATATGGTATTCAACTGCACCACCCATACAAGTGATAGGCCTATTAAATACCATGACACCAAATGAAAGGCTGATGCATCCCCTTGCCTCACATCCCAAATAGCTTAAAGCAAGTTTACAGCATGCGAAACAAAGTAACTGCCAATAACTAAATTAATTAAGCTACTAGGTTATTTTTTAATCTTAATATCTGTTAAATATGAAGTAAATGTTCTCAAAAAT